AATTTGAGACGTCACAATATTTGTTACAGTTGGATTGAGAGATGGGTGTATTTTGTCACATAGCTTAAAAATCTCACCTTCCCTTTCCCCTTATTTATAACATTATGTAAATATATATTATAATTTATATGCATTTGTCAAGTTAATCTATTTTGCCAGTGCATTTTTCTGCCATAGTTTTATAAATATTTTCAGGCAACCTTGAACTGTGTCATGTGAACGACCTGCATATAAAGACATGTGATGGAGAGTCACTGCGGTTTTTCGAGACGCCTTCCATGATACAAGCATTTTTTTTCACAACTTCTGCTGAGTATCTGCTAACCCAGTACCACCTTGAATGTTGTCAGTATTCAAATCTTCATGACCTTAAAAGGATAAGGATACAATGTTTATAAGGATATATTTACATTCAGTGTAATTTTCCTTGTGAAATCAATTAGAAATCCACGACATTCAAATTTCTATAACACACGCGAAACCTTGTCACCGCGCGTTGGAATACACAGTAGGAACTATATGCATTTTCAATACTCTAGGAACACCCAAATGTAAAATGTTTTATTTCAACTTAATGAAAAACTAAAACCCGGGAAAATTAACGTAAAAAATAACGTAATGTGCGTTAAAAATAAATTTCTCATTTTTTTCCTCGCAATGTTTGTTTGTGTAATTTAACTTTGCAACGTCATTTAACGTCATTTGACGTCACAAACGGCTCTTACATCTATTAACCACGGCAGTTCTGAAGGGCGCTAAATTCACATTTAAGTTTAACGAAATAAGCAATTATGAAGAAGGAAAATTAGAGAATGTAAATATAAGCATTGAATTCATATTTTTGGATGTCTTCGGTCCTATAACACACCTGGCCGTGCCGACAAATTATCATACCGCGCTAACGCGCGGTATTCAATTTGTCGGCACGGCCAGGTGTGTTATAGGACCAAAGACATCCAAAAATATGAATTCAATGCTTAAAAAGATATAAAGTTGATAAGGATAAGGATTTCTCACTATTCGATGGTAATACATGGAACCACAGGCACCAAACTCGCTTGAATTTTTGAGCCCCTAGTATATTATAAGAAAACTAAGGGGTCAAAAGTTCAAGAGAGTTTGATGCCTGTGTATGGAACATAGAAATTCTACTTTTCTCTTAAACAAGAACAAAGCCATAACTAATAATACACAAGAAGTGGTGGATTCAAAATTTTCATGGGAATATGGGGGAAAATTCTGAGTGAAAGCAGAAGCACTCTGGTAGGCATTGTTACCCATCAGCCTCTAGTTGCCTCTAGTTGAACATAAACTTTTTCTTCAATTTGATAAGGTCAAAGTATACAAAAAGCACACATACGATTGAACCGCTACATGTAACATTCAAGCAACTAATACTGTCTCTTGATGTTTTGTATGAAATTATACTTGTGCATTAAATAGATATTTTTGTTTGTATTGACTCCAATGAACTGCAAACGATAGAATTTGCAACAACTTTGACCTTTTGACCTTGACCTTGGAAATTCACGTAATTATGAAAAAATCTTTAACCTCGCCCATAACTTTTGAGCGGTGAGAGCCATGCTTTCGTACTTCACGTATGTAATCCTTGTGAAAAGAACTTTTATCGGATACCATGAACTTTAACCCTTTGACCTTGACCTTGGAGTTTAAACCACTTTTAAAAAACTTTAACCTTGGTCACAACTTTTTAACGGTAGTTACTAGGACTTTCATATTTCACATATGTATTTTTTGTGGCAAGATCTTTTATTGAATACAAACAATTTTGACCTTTTGACCTTGGAGATTTACGTACTTATGAAAAAACTTTAACCTTGACCATAACATTTAAACGGTGAGGGCTAGGGCTTTTATACTTCACATATGTAATCCTTGTGAAAAGACTTTTATTGGATACCAAGAACTTTAACCTTTTGACCTACTTTTGAAAAACTTTAACATTGGCCATAAATTTTGAATAGTTAGGGTAAGGGTTTTCATCCTTCAAATATGTATTACTTGTGACAAGACCTTTCTTAAAAAACCAACAACTCAGACCCTTTCACCTTGGAGTTTGAACTACCTTTCAAATATTTATCCTGACTATAACTTTTGAACAGGTGATGCTAGGGATTATATCTTTCACAATCGTATTTCTTGTGAGAAAAACCGTACTTTGGGTAATCATATATTTTTTTTGCATTTAAGAAAATTTTAATCTTCGTTATGTTGCTGTTCGAGGTCATCAGTGTTTCACAAACACATCTTATTCCTTATATTGAGAAGAGATAGGGCTTTCATATATGACATGTGCATTACCTGTGACAACTTAAAGATAATTCCGGGCTTGTTATGATTTCTTACCCCTTGACATTGACCTTCACGATTGACCTTATTTTCTAAAAAAAAAATCAACTTCAATGATAATTTCTTAATAAATAACATATGATAGGGTGTTCATATTAGACATTATATGTCATAAAAATAACATCTCACCCACAAAGACACCGAAAGTGGGGGACCACAATCCTTTGAATTTGCTTGTTTACTATAGAAATCAATAGAAAAATGAAAATATTTTTAAAACATCTCAACCCCCCGGTGTCACAAAAAATTCCTGTTTACAGGTAATATGGACTGTTATTTCACAAATTCATACCAAAGGTTTTTGTGTGACACGGGGGTGGGGGGGGGGGTGGTGGAGGGGGGCATACATGTATGTTTATTGACAAAAACGACAGAAATGCTTATTTTCCACCAATTCCAAATCAATTTACAATTAAAAAATTATATTTTATTGTTCAATTTATGTTTTCTTTATTTGTCTAAAACAAAGAAAACATATAAGAAACATTTAATGATACCCAGGACTATTTCAAAATATGTTGATGCCTGAAAGTACGATTTCAATGAAAATTTTCGTCTACCCCCTTTTTGTCAAGAGCTAGAGGTATGGCTAATATTTACTGTTTAGAGCTGGTATTACAAATTGTCATTTATATTGAATTAAATGGTTGCAAAATGTAGGCGGGAATCGAGCGTTAGCGTGCGTATTTCTTAAGGTAGAATGTGCTGACAGAGATAATTTGGTGGTAGTTCTTTAATTCTCTGTTTATTTGATATTTGAAGTGGATAATTTTTGAATTCGGACCATCAATTAAAAGTAATTACATCTCAAAGCCATTACCTTCCTAGAAATAAGTTATTTTAAAGCAAATATTTCTCTAATAGTCAGGCATTGAAGGAAATTAGAGAGTACATAATTATATGAAGACCTTGTTTTTTTTCTATTTGGTTCAGAAGTATAGAAGACACATTCTTGACTCTATACTGCAAAATTAAATCCATCGTTGTGATTGCGGCGCAATTAAGTTTTTTAAATAAACAATTAACAAAAGTGTTCATTGCAAATTGGAACTTCCCACGGTTTTTATGGTATCGTGTACAATTAAGATGCAGAAGATAAGGATACATTTCCAAGAACAACATAAAAAATTATTATTTCTGGTCACCTAAATTAAAATATTTTCTCAATGAATATAACACATTTGTGCCTACACATTCTGTTTAAGAAATAAGCCCCCCTACTTTTTCCCTCATTTCTTAAATATCAGTTTAATTATCCCACAAATAGATAGTAAGCATTTTTTTCCATTTCTGAGTTAATTAAGAAAACTTTTATCTCGTTCAGTATTCATCATTTCAGTTCATGATTATAATGTAAAAGTTTAGGAATCAAAATTAATATGAAAATGTATAAAGTTACAAACAAAAGTTTATGGTAGAACATTTTTTTTTCTAAATTTAACACAATATTTTTAGAAAGTACACCTGCAGTGTTAACATTCCAACAAATTTGAATGTAGTCTTTTTGCCACCTCTTAAGAAACTGATTGCAGATAAAATACCAACATAAACCAAACAGGAATTTTAGGCTCTGAACTAGACAATTATTTTAAAAATATGAATTATTTAGTTAAAAAAAAAACATAAAATTTAAGTTACGTGTATTTGAATTTCTTTTATTTCACACGAAATTTTTCTTATATAACTTCACATACACAACATTCCCTTTGAATTTTTTTCTGTAAAAATCAGAAGAGGAAGGATATGGAGATAACGAACAATTATTATATTTAATCTCAAAGTTCTTAAAACAATACAAAACAAGAGTAGAGCAAACACGGACCTCCGAAACATCAGAGATTGGGATTAGGTGCCATGGAGGAGTGAGCATCCTCTGCTGACCGGTTACACCCGTTGTGTGCTCAGTGTCATGATCGTGAAATAACGGAAAAATCCGTCGTCAATTCAGTGTATAAAAATGTACTAACGATTGGTATGAAAAACGCCAGTCAGCATTTGACTCAATGATAAATTATATACGCTGACAAGGTCATTGTATTGACCATAGAACTAACGAAATGATGACATTAAACGAGACTGTTAATATTTTTGTTTCATCAACTTGCTTGTCAATAATTCACCTCGTTTTAGAAATTGTTCATACGTAGAGCATGCTCTTGCGTATCGAATCAACTAAGTAATTACATTTCTGTATCATTTTTTTTAATTTGTAAAATTAATAATTAACAAACATATGATTTTACCCATATGAAATATGCATGATGAAAGACAAGGAATCACAAGGCATGAAACATGATACTTGACAAGAAACGATGTATAAATGCAAATCAGTGTCAAGGGTTTAGCAAATCAATATGATATGGCATGAAAATTGGTTAACATGTTTACAAAAAGCAAATTAGCCAAATTAGGGTTTAAATCCTCTCTTAAAAACACACCAAGTGCTTAATAATGAAATCAACCCACTGTGGATAATTTAAATTATCGATTTAGGAGGTAAACCTAAAACACTATACTTAGGTCCCGTAGGCACTCCTCTTTTCTAAAAAATATAAATAAATACGTCTTGTTCATATCTCTGTTAGATGGACTTGGCTCTAAACAGTTACATTGTCGCAAGGTTAATGCCAAATGATATCTGATGTAAGAAAATTTGCTAATAGAAAATGTTGCAATTAATGGTACTTTTGCAAATGGTATGGGCACTCATACCTTTTATTAAAGGTAGGTTTAAATCATTTTTACTTATTGTTTATAACATGTCATTAAGTATATTCAAGGGTTGAATATATAAAGAATAAAACATAAAACAATCCACTGGCGGTGTCCATAATATATAAAGCCTAGGCTTTCATATTTCAAACAACATTTCAAGACCGGGGAAATTGCATTAAAAATATATTTTTTAAATTACAAATTTGTTCGTAATATGTATTGATTAGTTTTAATGAATATACAATAACAAAATCATGTTCCTAGCTGTTTTACTGCTCTATTGGGACTAAAACCATGTGTTAAGATGTTTAAGGAGGTCCGTGGAATAGCCCAGCTTAGCTATAAAAACCGACAGTCATCAGCAACTTGATGGAATTTACAGTGTTTATACTGCAAAAGACGACACATCGATGTGATGTAAACAAGTATTTCATGCTACGACACATCGATGTGATGTAAATAAGTATTTCATGCAAAAAACATTAACTTTTTTCTGTTTTTCAAATTTCAAGTTTTCTAAAATTTCTGTAACTGTCATGTAAGAATTCAATCTTCAACGGTTAAATGCTTATTCATTTAAAAAAACGGTTCATGGAAAAGTATTATTATATATTTTCCATTAAATAAAACTACAAGTGAAGCTAATTCGAAGTAACTTTATGTTTCATTCGAATTAAACTATCCGTGTGAACAGGGCATTAAATTTTAATTCGCATTAGTTTACTTCGCTTAAGCTGTCGTGTGAACGCAATTTGATTCGCATTATTAGCTGAAAAATTTTAAGTTAAATTAGATTTATATTTGTGCATATTTTGGTATGTTATACTCCAGTATTTGATAATATGACACCAAATATAAAAGATATGGACACAGAGACATTACTTTTGGATCACCCCTCGTACATGAAAGTAAAAAGAAGACAGCTTTGACATAAACTAATAAAAATAATTGTTTTCCTCAGGGGAGTGCGTTTCAAAGGGAGACATTGTTTTTCTACTGGACGAGTCCGGCAGTATTGGATCGCAAAACTTTGAACGAATGAAGTCATTTGTTAGCTCCTTCGTGGATAACTTCAAAGTTGGAAGCAACGCAAATCAATTCAGTGTAGTCAACTTTGAGTCATCTTCTAGAGAGATATTTCCACTCAACAGATATCACACAGTGTCTAGTCTTCAATCTGCCATATCTTCCATTTCTTTCTCCAGCGGAGGAACAAGCATAGGAAGTGCCCTAGATTATGCCCGGATGTACTCTTTTAGTTCCGCCAGAGGAGCAAGAAGTGATTCGGCAAAAATTGCTGTTCTAATCACCGATGGACAAAGTTCCCTTTCCAACGAGCCCGAACAACTAAAAGCAATAGGGGTCACGATATTTTGTGTCGGGGTAGGAACTGGAATAAATTCAGCTGTGCTCAGATCAGTGGCTTCCCACAACGACTACACGTATCTGACCACGTTTGATTTATTGTCATTGTTGGCAAACGAATTGTCAAATGGAACCTGTGCTGATGGTTCGTTGTATTAAATCTTCTTATTATAAGAGCTTTCTTTGCCTATAGGTTGTGTTATTAAGGTGACTCAGGTCATCTTAAAAAAATTGTTTGGTTGCCTTCTCCAGATCAGCTGACTATGAATGACCTAACTCAAACGTTTTTTTGTTTTCTTTTACATTTTATAACATGATATATTTTTATTTCTCTTCTTCCGTCAACAAATATGTTGAAATTTTTAGAAAAAAAAACTTTCCAACCGACCTACCGACCCAATAATTTAACCACGAGAGAGGGCAAACAAACATTATGTCCTCATTATCATTTTTTTTTCAAATTTAAAGATACACTAATTTTACCAAATAAGGAAAACACATTCAATGGAATCCTTTTAAGAAATATTCGATGTTTATTTATTAATTCAAAATGATACTTATAATTACATACGTGTTATATGTTTCGTTAATCTTTTCTTACAGACATAAACGATTGTCTAAGTGATCCATGTTTAAATGGCGGAACATGTGAAGATCAGTTTGGGAAATACGTTTGTCACTGTCTGTCCGGAAACACAGATCCAAATTGCTACGCTCCGGGTAAGTTTGGAATAAAGATGATAAAACACAAAGCAAAAAATGAATTCCACATACTATGGCAATGAT